ATTTATTTTATTATATGAAACATTTAACACCTCTCAAAGAATAAACAACAATTGATGATATTTAAACAGTGAGTGCGATGTGTAAAATAAAATAAATAAATATTTTTTTTTATTAATATTATATGTATTAGTTTATCTCTTCTTTCTGTACATATTTATGCATTTGTTTTAAAGAAGTTTTTTTGAAAAGAAGTCAGCAAAAATTCTCCCTTTATTAATTAAATAAAAGTTAATGAAATCATCCTTAGAAATAGCTATTGATCGATTTGCTTAATATATTTACATATACCCTTGGCATTAATGCATCAAGCACTGTCGACAGCAGCGATAAGGAATCTGCCCAAGCTACGCACAGCTCATTAGCAGCTATCGTCGTCGTTATCCGCCCATCTCATCGAGCCGGTGGTTTTTTCATTAGAGCTGGTCGAAGCAGAACGTGAGAGCGGTTGGCATTCAGTCATTCACAATGGTTGACCTGGTGCAGTTTGTGCTGCGCAGCAGCTACTACTACGGCCGGCTGATTGGCGTGATCAACTTCGAGATTGACCTGGAGACGGGTGAGCCCCGACTGACGAGACGCGCGACACTCTGGGCGATTGCCATCAACGTGTTGACCTTCAGCCTGGTGCCGCTGTTGATCAGCAGTCGGGTGTGGCAAGTCTTCCTGGTGCACGCCAACAGTCTGCATCAGTATGTGTTCCTGGTGATGATCTTCTTTCGGGTCAGCTGTGTGTTTGTGACTGTCCTCAGCCGCTGGTGGCAACGGCAGCAACTCGTGCGTCTGCTGCGCAGCTATCGCCGGCTGACAATGAAGCAGCCCCACGTGGTGCGACTGTGGCGCCGCGGTGTCATTGCCAAAGGGATTACCAGCTTTTCGGTGGAGAGCATTCACATATTCTTGGGCGTGTATGGTGTGCGAGATATGCTAACGCCCACCATAGCACTGAGCGTGTTTCTCATCTATCTGATCATTAGCTGGATGAATATTATCCTCGCCCAGTATTTCTTCAGTTTGCTAAACGTGCATGGACACTACTTGCTCATGAATGAGGAGCTGCGCCGGATTGTGGCTGAAACGCATTTGCTGAAGCTGCTGGATCATGGCAAGAGCCTGCGCCAGCTAAAATACTGCGCCCTGGCCGATCGCCTGGACAGCGTGGCGCTGCTCCAGTCACAGCTCCAGAGCCTGGTGCGGCGCTTGACCCAAATCTTTGGCCCGCAGACTCTATGCATTTACATCACCTTTAATGCCACCTTGATCTCGGGTACTTACTATGCCTTTTCGGCCATCAGGTACAGCGTTGACATCGACTGGACGAGCGCTAAAACTATATTGACCATATGCGGCGCCATCCTCTATATGACTGACTCGCACTTGACCTACTCCATTACAAGCTATGTGGAAATTGTCTACAAGGAGATGTCGAAAATCATTGCACAGTATCCAACGTTTGCCCAAGATGTGGACAGGCGTCTAATCACAGCGGTGAGTGGTATTCTATTGGTTAATCTAATGTCTCTCTCATATAAATCTGTTTGCAGTTTGAGAACCTTAAAATGCAATTGGTAAGCAATCCACAAAAACTCTCTGTAATGGGCCTATATAATTTGGAACGTACTACGGTCTTGGGCATTTTCAGCTCCGTAATATCGCATTCATTAATCCTCATACAATATGATATAAAACACTACAACGCAGGCTAAAAGTAATTGTTTAGTATTAAAAATTTAAATATAATATATTATAGTTTAATTAATT